TGAACAATCGCATATCACAAGGTGTAGTGTTCACTGGATTATTGTAACTGCCACTTTCATTCATCACATGGAATGGTAGATCTATACGATATACCGTTAGAACTTAGGCCTTCTGGTATACCAACGACGAAGAGGCTCGTGGTCTACGTGGCCACGAGTGTTGTTCGTGCACACCACCCCAGCCTACCGTGGTCGGGCGTTTTCGTGGTGGTTTGTGGTGGGGAAGACGATCGACAACGCCCAATCAGGGCTTCTTCTTCTCTCAGTTCTTCTTCTTCTTCCTCTGTCTCTCTCTCTCTCTCTCTCTCTTCGTTCTTCTGTTCGTGGTCGTGGAGGGTACTCTATGGCTTTGTGGTGGGTGGTGGTGATCGATCTGGAAGCTCTCCACGACCGTTGTCGTGGAGAGTATAGCATATGGCCTTATAGTAATTTGCATCTAAGAATTTTCTAAAGTTCTCGTCCAAGTTCTCACAGAATTTATTATTGTTTTAATGTCTAAATATGTCTTTTATATAAAAGAAAATTATAACTAACATTTTCTTTACTTTTTAAATTATCTGGAAGTAGAATTCCAGCCAAAATAGTATCTAATGAAAGTTGATCTCATTATCTAAGTTTGTATTATTATTAATAAAAAAAAATTATACGTAAGTGAAAGCTTATATATATTTTTTAAATTATGTTTTTTTAGATCTCTAAGATTTGTTTTAATCTTTTAATAGTAAAAAAAAAAAAAAAAAAAAAAGATGATGTGGATAGGACCTCGCACGTTTAGTACCGATTTTATTTAATTTTTCCATGGGATGTCAAGTTCATCTATATAAATAGTTCCAACATGTTTTCATATTTCACGTGTTGTTTAACAAAAAAAAGACGTAATTTGTTTTTATGAAAAAAAAAAATACGATGATCAAATACAAAAAAATTGTGGTTCAAAATTAAATGTTTTATCTCTGGTGTTGGTGATCCAATGTGGCAAGTTTTTGTCCATAATTCCCCTCTACACATAAATTACCATATATCCCTCTACACTTGGTTTTTGGTATGAATTCAAAGGGAAGAAAATAATAATCAAATAATCCGGAAAACCGGTTTCCCCAAACCGGTTGCTAAGGATATAGTTTTTTCTTCCAAAATCAAACCAGTTCGTACATTAATAAAAAAAACTGATCTGATTTTGATTCGATTAGGATCGTTTTCAAATCTTGACTTATGTGCACCTCTACTTGCTAAGTACTGCACAACAATAGTATAATTATATTTTATATTTTATATTTTATTGTCGATACATAATAAATAAAAGTCTAGTAACACTTTTAAATTATTTGTTCATATTCTAAATCAGTGTCATTAAAATGAGTAGTTCAATCAACTTTAATAAATGAATGTTTTTTCTTTTTTGCCACTTGTTAAACTTTCATTCAATTTTTCAAATGTCATTTTGTGGTTATTTTGAATTAATTTTTTTTTCCATATGTCATTTTATGGTTTTTTCTATTTTAATAAATTTCACATAATATTTTAATGTAATAATAATTACAATAAATGTATTAATAAATTAATATCAGTTTCATTAATGGATTTAATTTTTTATTTCAAAATTCCTAAATTAAAGCTCATTAGTTTATTTTGTTTATTTATTTAAATTAAAAAAAATCAATTTTAATAATTCATTATTTTTCTTACTTTCTTATAAATCCAAAGTTCTTAAATATTTAAACTTTTATATTTAATTTTTTTTAATTAACTCATATAATACATGAGTCTTACACCTAGTATCAAATATGAGAAATTAAATATCCTCATATATTTTCTTCTTATTTATCTTTCTACGTATATGAAATTGTGACATGTGTCGTATTTAGATAAGATTAATAATATTTTAATATATTTGTCATCATTTCAAATAAATTAAAAGATATGTCGGAAGGAAAGTAGAACGGTATTTAATTTCTCATCACATATATTTAGTTGTCAAAAATAATACCATAAATCTAATTTTATAAAAGAACTATATTGATTATGTTTGTTAAAAAAATTATCAATATGTCTGATAATTTAAAGTTTATCTTTAGTTTCATGAACAAGTAACAACTTCTGTCAAAATCTTATTTTCAATATTATTATGAGTAGACTTTACAGAAAAAAATGTTTTTTATGGTCTAATACATAATTATATTTCAACAAATAAATAAATTTTTTAACAACAAAATATATTAAAACAAAAAAGCCAAGCAGGATGAAGAGCAATTTATAATCCTATAGAAGATTGACGTATCTAACATTATAAGTTAAGGAGGATGCACAGCAATTTCTTATGAGAGACACACCTTTTCTTACTCTTTAACTCTAGTAAGTTAAGGAGATATTTATCATAATACCATTACTTTAAAATGAGTCTAGTAACACTTTTAAACTATTTGTTCATATTCTAAATCAGTATCATTAAAATGAGTAGGTCAATCAACTTTAATAAATGAAGGTTTTTTTTTGCCACTTGTCACACTCTCATTCAATTTGTCAAATGTCATTTTGTGATTACTTTGAATTAATTTTCTTTTCCACCTATCATTTTATGGTTTTTTCTATTTTAGTAAATTCCACATAATATTTTAATGTAATAATAATTACAATAAATGTATTAATAAATGAATATCAGTTTCATTAATGGATTTAACTTTTTATTTCAAAATTCCTAAATTAAAGCTCATTAGTTTATTTTGTTTATTTATTTAAATTTAAAAGAAAATTCAATTTTAATAATTCATTATTTTTCTTATTTTCTTGTAAATCCAAAGTTCTTAAATATTTAAACTTTTATATTTACTTTTTTTAATTAACCCATGTAATACATGAGTCTTACACCTAGTATCAAATATGAGAAATTAAATATCCTCATATATTTTCTTCTTATTTATCTTTCTACGTATGTGAAATGGTGACATGTGTCGTATTTAGATAAGATTAATAATATTTTAATATATTTGTCATCATTTCAAATAGATTAAAAGATATATCGAAAGGAAAGTAGAACAATATTTAAATTCTCATCAAATATATATAGTTGTCAAAAATAATTACCATAAATCTTATTTTATAAAAGAACATTGATTATGTTTGTTAAAAAAGATTATCAATATGTCCAATAATTTAAAGTTTATCTTTAGTTTCATAAAAAGTAACAACTTCTGTCAAAATCTTATTTTCAATTTTATTATGAGTAGACTTTACAGAAAAAATG